AAATTTATCTCTACTGTTACACTTTCTGCAATTGCTGCAATGGCCTGTCACAGAAGGCAATCACTTCCTTGCATCTATTTCAAAATAAAGAACCTGCACAGTCTGACACAGCAGGGGAAAAGGAACCCCCAAAGACTGTGGGAGTTCTCTCAGCAGATTACGCTTCAGGACTGTGTGATCCAACATCAAAAATGTAGGCAATGAAGCATCTTTAATGAAATTGCAAATTCCTGCAAAGCCTCTTTCATATCTGTGTAACTGACAATGAAAAAATCAAAACATACAAATTGATTACATTTGTCAATTACTATTTTAGTGAGAGTTCTGAACACATTCTCTTCAAATCCAAACCTGCAGAAAACTCTGGCTGTTGGTTTATTGATCATCCTGATTAGAGCACCAAGTCCTGGATTTTAGAAAGCAAGGTCAGAAAGATAAAACATTCACATTAGGTAGAATAATTTACAAACAAATAAAGTAGCACTTCAGCTCTGTTTCACGTATTTAGTATTTTTAGTATTCATGTATATTTCCTTCCATCATGATTGAGATCTAATTTTTTAATTACCACAACCTTCACTAAAAGCTGATTTCTCTTACTTTTAAAGCAATCACTAAGGATAACACCTCTGAAGCCTTTTAAAAAGGAATAACGAACAAAAAATCTTATTAGATATGAGGTGAACTTCTGGTGTTTTGTTTTTTTTTCAAGTAATTATGCTAGAACAGATAAAACCATTTTCTGCTATGTACAGTTTTAAGCCTGGAACTCTACTGGCACAAAGCATTACAACATCCCAATGGCTGCACCATGGTGCTTCAGCTTGCTTCTGCCCTGGGTATCTCTCAGGACTTCATGCTAACAGCTTTGTCTTGTTCAGTCATAACTAGTCTTCTGGCACTGAGCTCCACCTGCTGACAAGTCTCTCAAGTGTTGCACAGCTTGTGCACCGTGTCTCAGTTTTGTCAACCAGCTCCAGCAAAATGCTGCAGTATGCACAATAAATCTATATGAAACACTTTTACAGTGAGAACAGCATGTAATTTTAAACACATATTCTTAAAAGTTGTGAGTTTATTCCTTCATAATTTTTTTACCTTGTAAGGAAAAAGGAGAAGACATATTAAAGTGGTACAGAGATTTCACTAAATTATTGCTAAACAAAATTAATTACTATTTTATATTAACTGAATCTATTGCCTGGTTTAAGAACTCTATTTACCCTATTCTGTAACAAAATTTCCAAGGCAACACCGATCCTGTAAATTTAAAGCTTTACCATTAAATGCAAATTATCATAATTGTATGTATTTACCTGAGTAAATGTTTAACTGGTACTGTAATATTCAGAAATTAATGATGTTTTTATCTCTAATCTGATCACCAGCCATATAAAAGTTTTGTCACTGTTGTTTTCTTCATTTGAATTACCATGGACTACTGCCATGCTTTGTTGATCATATTAACAGCAAAAATACACCTTAAGGAAATCAAGATAAATGACAGGCCATACATCCACTGACTGAACAACTAAATGTGGAAAAGTTAGCTCAAATAGCTTCCAGTTAAATTTTATGAAGTGACATAATATATAACACTTTGGATACGACTATATTTTTGTCAAAATGTATCTGTTTAAAAGGAATAACTAGGGGTTTTTTTTAGTATTTCCACACTTAAGGTACAGATATAAATACAAATATATATGTTAATGGGAATTAACATAGTGAATGGCATAAATGCATAATTCTAAGGGGCTCAGAAATAAGATTTTAAACTTCTAGTGCCATCAGCATTATAATTATCTCTGTCTTGCATGGATAAGTCAATAGAAAAGTATAACTGCCAGTAACAATGTTTCATTTTTCCATATACAATGACAAAACTGTTAAATGCAATGTTCAGACATTTCTGTTTCTCTCTGTTTTATATCCTAATTAGAAAAAGAGAATAGTTTGGCAATTTCCTTTTTTACTTAAATGAGTACATGACTACCAATACATGGCAAATATACTTAAACAAATATATTGACTAAAGCAAACCATATTGAAGACACTAACAGAATAGGTAACTTCCTACACTTAATAGATGCAAAAAAGAACAAGAAAACTAACTTAAAACACTCACATAATATAACATTACACTGTCTATAAAAACATATCTAACAGCATTTCAGAGTTTCACTCCTTGTTAGTATTCTATTGTACAGTTACCTAATGTAAGAGAAGGGAAACAAAACAATTTGCAAACTATTCCACCATGAAATTGGCTCTATTCATATGATATAAATACTTAGGAGATATGAAACAAAATTGCTTTGCATATCCCTCTTTTAAATTTTAAATTACAAAACAAAAAACTTACTTGTGACTTGAGGTCATGAAAATTTGCTTTATATGGATGCTGACAAAACAAGCCAACTATGATTTTCTAATTCTTAAGGAAAAAAAATGCAAACAAGTGTTTACAATTAATTTCTAAAGAGGAATAAATAACCATATTCAAGTATATCAGAGTAACATTTAGATGACCTGCTCTCAGAAAAAGTGGAGAAAATTTAAGGTATTTAGAGCTGAAGAAATAGTCTGGAGTAGATCATAAGCATTTCCTTCTGGGGTAATGTGTGCTGATCCCAAGGCAGCCTCAGTACCAATGACCTGCATGTAAATGCTGTACCCAGTACATGTAAACGCTGAACTTGATTTATCTGTGGAAATAATGATGCCTTCTATCACAGTTAACCCTGTTTTCAGTCCCATTCAGGACTGTACAAGACAAGGACTTCCACAGCTGGCACCCACAAAATAAGTGTGCATGTCCAAGAGCCACTTAGCCCTTTTGGTAAGCTTTGCCTTGAAGAAGAAATGACACAAAGCTCCTTCAGATGGAGCTTAGCCCATCACACTACATGACAGGTCTTCTCTGCAAGGTAGCTTGAACAATCTTTTATTACTATTTTCATAAAAGGTGAAGGCACTCCAAATTCTCAGATAACATAGGCCAGATGGAACTACATAAACTAGAGCAAGTTACTTAAAGTATACAATCCATTAAATTAATGGAAAAATGAATGTTAACATTATCCCTGGCATACAAACGCATACCTGATTAATCTTCTCAAGTTGCCTGAACAGTAAATTTTACTTACTGGTTTAAAAAATAAAACAACAAAAACCCACATTATCCTCTATTTCAGCTTACACTACATAATTTAAGTGTGTTAAATATTTCTGCCTCCTTTTGTACAAACTTCCTGTTTCCATTTTACCTTCTCCCGAGAAGATGACCAGACTGCCTCTCATCATTAGTCCCCTTTCTAATTGCTCTCATGGCTTTTCTCTGCAATCTTGCACTGGGGTTAAAGTGGCAGAATTTTATCAAGCAGTGCATCCTGCTGCAGTGGAAGGTGTTGAAAGGGGTTGGAACCAGGCAATCTTGGAAGTCCCTTCCCAAACCATCCTATGGCTCTATGTATGCTCCCCCTTCCCCTGCCCTTCTGCAGAAGTCACTGTTCCCTGAGCACACAGCCCACCCTGTGCCATCTGCCCTGGGGCACCACAGGCCCACCAGTGGCTGCACTAGAGGTGATGAGCCCCACCCTTGAAGGTGACACTGGAGGTGAGATGGCGCTGGCAGTGATGGAGCTGCCGTGTCTCTGTCCTGTTGGCCCTGTGTAGGCCTGTGCTCAGCACACAGGATTATTTCCTCCACTCACTAAAACACAGGTTTCAGTAATCTTGAGCTGAAGGGGGAGAGTACCATTCTTATGACTAGACTCATCATCTCAACACCATCAGGCACGTTGTAATACTAGCAGACACTAATACCAGCAGACACTAATCACTAGCACTGCTACAGGATGTGGTATTAAATAACTAACAAGATAGCCTGCCCCAAAAAGATTTCAAGCCCCCTAATTGTTTGCAATTATTATCCTGATCCTTTTCTCTCTCTTCATCTTTTTGTACTTTTTCAACTCCTTCTAAGTCACGACAAGCATACAAGCTTTGTAAAATAATGTTTTTTACCAGCATAAATGACAACCACCTCATAGTGCCTTGTAAATATTAAACAGCAATGGAAGCAAGAAAATGCTGACAATCAAGCAAATTGTAGAATGGGAATCAAACAGTTCCACAATAGACAGAGGAAGAAAAACATCTCTCCCCTCAGAAGCAGCTATTTCATTATCATTTCACAGAGCTACTGCCCTACAGGTGAAAAAGAATGTCAGGCTAAACCTCAAAGAAAAAAGTCACAAATATCTCCTACATGTCAAAACTAATACACAAAGGCAAAAACTGTTTGTCCTTTTAGTAAACAGGTGCTGTTTGTTTGCTTTTTTTTTTTTGTAGCCTACAAACTCTGCACATAGCTGCAAGACAACTGAGAAAAGGAAGTCACACAAAATATTAGCAAAGTAAGGTACTTACTTAAACTGTATGAGGTGTCATCAGACCAAAAAAATTTTATTTTAATCATTTAAGAGCATGTACACATTTAAAAATAAGTTATAAAGAGAATGGTGTTCATTTCTGTTTTGAGGAAAGAGTAATTACAGTACATAAAATTAATTTCTCAATTACATAACATGTGCAGCAATTCCAAGAGATTTTGCTGTTAATTTTCTACCTACAATTCTAAATTTATTTCTTCAATACAGCCAAGGAAATTACCAGTAGCTACCCAGTCACATTTACTAAATCTATGTAAGGGTTAAGATTTTCTTTATTAAACAGTGTAATGAAAATCTAAGCATCAAGTGTGGAGAAGATGAACCCAAGTCCCCAGACACAGACTGTTATGAGTTACTGAGTTACTGCCACTTAAAACGAAAAAATATCATGCAACTGAACCTTTTGTCCAAACAAGTCTCCAAAAATGCAAAGAGAAGTCCATTCACTTTAAATAATCTCAGTGAGTAGCTTGATACTCTGATCCCAGATCTGAAGTACAGTGTAAGGGCTACACAATTCAGTAAAACAGATGTAAAACTTACCATAGAAGTCACTGATCTGGCATCTTCTTCGTAATTCACTACAGGTGGTGGCTCTTTCCCATCATTCTCTTGAACCTTTTGTTCCAGTAGTTCTTTCTGGGCTGCAAATTTTGCCTCAGAGCATTTTAATTGCTGGACTGTTTGCTTAAGTTCTTCAAGTGCCTGCTTTTGGCTCAGCAAGAGTACAATACTGAAAAGAAAAATAACAATTTAAAATCGTGCATGACTGAAAATAGTCTATTTGCTTTATAAAAGTTGTGAGGAAGAAAGCATGACAATTCCTCAACATACTCTTTTATTCAAAGGTGAAATTCCAGAAAAATTTCAAAGCAACAAAATAATAAAAGCAAAATTCTCATTTTCAAATACTCATTCTCTTCTCTCTATCACAAAAACATTCTCTTCTATCACAAAAATCATGATTAATAAATATAGGTGAAACTCCTGTTTTCATTCACTTTTGATTAAATTTATGAACACTGGGGTTCCCTTTCCCTGAGAGAATAAGTAAATTTTAGATAATGATTTCAAGTGATGAGAAATTCACTCCAATCAGTGTAGTTGTTTGCACGGACACTCCAATAAGTGTGCAGTAATAATTTGCAATATTAAACTCCCTTCACATCCAGTATAAATTCATATGGCATCACATAAGAGATACGTGGTTTTTCCCTCTGCACTCGAAGTATTTCTGGATTGGGTTATAACTGTCTTATGAAGCTAAATAAATTTATCTTTACAAGGAGCTAAAAGCAACTTTTCATCATCTGCTTATTTTTATAGTTCTTCTCTGAATACCACTCATACTCTTGACTATTTGAGACAACCGTGATTAAATGATATTGAAGGAAATGCACTTGAAGAGTACCTGCAGGTACTCAAATGACTCCATCATCCCAAAGAACTACCAAAACCAAAGACTGACAGAAGATGCCCAAGCAATAGAATCACCCACAGTACAATACAGACACCTTTAAAAGCACTCAAGCAGTGCCCAGTGACATGTGGTCTACAGGAGATTCAGACTTCTCACAGTCTACAAGAACAGATGAAGGAGGTAGATGAACCAGAATTATGAAGAATGAGGGCAATATGAAGAAAAATCACAGTATTGTATCACTCTGGATCTTCACAATAATCCCTTGAAGACAATCCCTGCAAGCCCTATGCTTAAAGAAAAAAAGAAAAGCAGAAATTGTTCATATAGGGATTGATCCTTCACAAACTGATGCTCAGCCAAATGAGTATTCAAATGGGTTTCAAATTAACAGGGGAACCACCTATCATAAAATTCTCTTTGGCAGGAAAAGATACAAATTATGTTCATATAGGTGAGTATTATATCAAGTCAGTAATGAACAAAACTCCTCACCATCAGCAAAATGATTGTTCATTCAAAATGGGTGTGAGGTATGCAGACACAGTTCTCAAATCCAAAACTGAGATTTGGCATGAACTTGCACATATTTAAAAGCATCAGAGAAGCAAATGAACTATTATTCTGAAGTTATCCTGAAGATAAAGTGTTTTCATCTGGTCTCCTTTATGACAAAAAAGGACATCACCATGTGAAAATAACAGGTTTGAACCATCAGCAAGGGTTTGGTGAATACACTCTGGCTGGAGTAACATCCCCAAACCCAGAATGGTTCCAACTGATCAGGATACAGAAATAACAAGACATACCCTGAAAAGTCACTCACAAGCGTGTCTCTTTCTCAACTGTGGCAAAATGGATTACAATCTGATTTGGTTTCCCAAATCCAACATTCAGTGCTTGCCACTCCACTCATGTATGAGGAATTAGAATCTATAAAATTATTTGCCTGTGGCGTGCCTGAGTGGAAACTGCGAAGTTCTTGTCGCTACTAATAGCTACTAGCAACTTCACAGAGTCAGATCTTTTATGAAGAATCTCTGTAGATAGGAGCAACACATGAGAAAGTGGTAAAAAGGTGAACTAAATCAAAACCCAAATATTCAATATGCTATCATGTTGGAAGGGCAGATGGTATTCTTGACATATACATATATAAATAAAATACAATTAAAGCATTTTCTGTGTTGAAGGTAATATCATCTTTTGAAGATGGAAAGGGATATTAGTGCCAGGATAATAGCAACAAGACATTGCCATAAGGTATAACCTAATGTAGTCATAATTAAACCCAGTGCAACAGCTGGACAAGATATTCTGGGAACAGTAAGCATCCTGAAATATCCTAATCACTCTGCACTGCAGCTAAAAGGTGAAAAGGTTGTTTGTTGGAGGCAGGCATCATCAATGACAAAACAGAACAAGGATGATTTCAGGGAAGCCTTCACTGTACAGCTAGACAGCTACACCAGATTCCCTGCCTTTTAATAAGACAAACAGGTACTGGTGCAATTTGAACTGAAATTATCTCCTCAACACCATAAACATCTGCTAAAGAATCAGTCAGAGAAGTCTTCACACAGTAAGAAATACAGTGATGGTCTAAACTATTTTCAAGGAGTAATAACTAGTAACAAAACAGTACTGAGGGAGAAAAACCAAACATCACCCCATCAAACTCAACTAGTTTAAATATAGTTTATCCCTTAAATAGCATACAGCAAAGACTGGTCAAGAACCAAAAATTGGAAAACACATTGTGGGTGCATGTGAACTTCACCAAAGAAAGGACACAAAATATCTATTTGAAACACTGACAACAGATACAAAAATAAAGTTTTGGATGAGAAATACTATATGATGTTTCATGGAACAAGGTTCCATCAACAAAGAGCATCAAGACTTCTTCAGTGAATGAAGGACTACCTGAAGGACTTGCATTCCAATTCACTACTGGTACTGTAAACAAATATTTATGATCAAATTAGTAAGATTAAAATTGATTGCAACAAGAATCAGAAAAATATCACTACAGACAAAAGGTTTCTTTATCTGTTGTACTGACATCAGTTTTGAAGAGTATGTGAATATTTTTTCTAACCAAAGGTAGAAGAAAAACCTAAAGATGTTGCCCAAGGAAGATTCTTTTTAATAATGTTTCATTTATGGTGCACTAAAACACTCACTAATCTCTCACATTTGGCATTTACTATGCACTACATCAGGGTATGAGATTCACATTCTTTACATTTACACTTCTGTAAAGAAAATACAAAGAAGAATGAACTTAAGCTGACAAGTTGCAAACATATTACTGTGTAAGAAAGTCTTGCACATGACTCTGAAAGCGTTTCACAGAATTACACTTCCACAAGGAATTCTGCCAAACAGAAAGGCAACTGAACTCACTCATCTTCCTTGAACAAGCTGAACTGAATTAATAAAAGGCCCAGCTCTTGAGCCATGCCAAACCACGACAATTATCTTAAACTTACAGAGCTGCTCAGTTCTTCAATGAGTTGGGGTATGCAGTGGCAAGGTTTATTTTAGAAACAAGAAACTAACTTACTGTTGTTTTTCACAGTAACTGATAAACCCAAAAGCAGAACAAGATTAGTGAAGGCTATGTCTCATTTAAGTTTTAGGAATTGTATTATAGACATTTTTCCCCCTCAAACTACTGTATTTTGTAATTTAAATTTCAACTTACTCGGATTTCTTTTCACATGTCTTAGATGACTCTTCTATTTTTTTCTCTAGATCCAAAACAAGTTCCTCTTTGCTCAGAAGGGTTTGCTGTGTCTGCATCAGTTCTTCTATTACTGTTTTTAACCTGTAAAACAGATTCCAAAACCCCAACCTGTGAATGCATAAACTATATATATCTGGAAACACTGTAATCTTTTTCCTGAAGATGTAAAAGAGCATTATTTTTTAGATTATGTTACTCAGTACTTAGTGATAGTTCTTTTTTTTGTGTGGCTGGACCTTTACATTGCTAATCTGCATTGTTAGAGGTTCTATGTGAGCCTCTGCATACACCCAAGGTTAACAGAATGATCTCCTGCCTGCAGGTTCTCCTAGCAAGAAAGTATTTTTTCCAGAATATGCAATGAATTCCACAAATTTATGCCTTCCTAATATATTACTAATTTATGAGATGTTTTAAGAAAGACAAAAGCCTTCTGACTCATAAAGCATATGATAAATAAATACACAGAATCAGTAATGGGGTTGTATTTACTTTTAGAAATAGTAAAAGTACAAATCATCACCTTCTGTTGTAATAATGATTGTATCTTTCTTTAATATTATCCTTTTTAGGTTACAATCTCTAGTAATGGTTAATTCCAACTAAAGTACAAAACCACTCAATACTAACAGAGAAGGGGCATTACATTTTAAACCATTACTACACTTCATAATTATCCTGGTAAATATTCTAATAACAAAAAAAATCCATGAATGTATAACAACATTTGCATTCTAAACAATGCATGCAAATGGCTTACATAATGATAACTTCTAAAATATGTACCAATCAAGAAATTGTTAAGTCAGAACAATCTGTAAAAATAAATAAGCATGTACATCTTGTTTCCTTTTTGTCATTTATGTACATATCTTTAACTTCATTTCCCCTCTATTTTCAAGCCCAATTTCAATAAAATTACTGAAGTAAAGAGTGGAACACAAGCAAAATGTATGTAGCATTTACCACTGCACAGATCTAGGGCCCAAAACCTTTCCAGACCAGGGAGTGGTACACTCAACTCTCTAAATATCTAGGAGGTACATTCCACACATCCATATATACCAAATTGAGTTATTTGGATCTAAACACTGAATCAGTCCTCTCCTCTCAATATTATTTTATACAATGTTGATTATATATGATCCATACTCATTCATGCACTTAATTCTAGGAGACTAAAATCACTAAAAAAAGCAACAGAGTGAAAGACCAAAATTTATTTCCCAAAAGACAAACCTTCTATATGTGTTTATTCTGAGATAAGATAAATACTTAAAACATTTCCCTCAAAGTAACGTCCTCACAGCTCTGCTTTTCATATACATTTTTATTAATTTTAGGCTGTCAAAATCTCTGTGTTTTCTTATACTGAGTCTCCAACTTATTACCAACTAACTTTTTTATTTTAATACCTTACTAAATAAAGTAATTTTTAAAAATTTTTGATCAGCTTTCTAAATAAAATTTTTTTCAACACTGTATTTGGTTAACAACTGATTTACCAGAAGCAGATGTTTTATCTAATGATCCAGCATCAACAGTCATGAAATTAAAAACATACTGATAAGACTTTGTCAGTAAAAGGAATGAGCATATACATGCAGATACAACATCTTCGTTAGATTTTATATTTTATATTGCAGTATCAGATTCAAACATTAAGTTGACGTAGTTCTTTCTGAAGCTTCTGAGATACTTCAGGACATTTTTGTTTATCTTAGAGAAAAGAAAAAGCTAACAGGTGGACCAAAACCACTTGCCTCCTTGCACTCCAGTTCTATTAAACAAGATCTTTCATTCAAACTGGCTACAGCTGATAACTGTATTTGTCTGGCATTATCTTGGCTGTAGTTTGCCAAAGGAATTTTCTTGTGGTTTTGTATTTGCCTTCTGGATACAATCAGTTTACAAAAGGGTTTCAACGACTTAACAGTTAATCACTATAACACTTTAAAAATCACAGAATACCCTTACCTGGAAAGCTTTCATTTATATTTCTTAAGTTTAAAGCTCTGTTCTGCTGCAACTATCAATTAAAATAAATGCTTGATCTTAAAGAACTCATATTTCAGAGTAACAGGATATTACTATGCTCATTGATCAATTTTTAGTTTATTCTGGTTGCCTCCTCTCAGCTTTTAACACATAACTCTTCAAAGCATAAACTCTTACTCTGCTACACTTTTCAGAATTTCTCAGTATTATTCAGTGACATCTGTGAATATTTATCAGGAGACTCCATAGCTCTTTGTTTAGAAAGGTTAGCTAGTCAACACTGACTTTTAACTACCAAACTACCTGTCAAAATTTTATTATAAATACAAGTTTACCTTAAAATGGAGAAACCAGATTTCTCATCATGTTCCCTTAAAATATACATTGTTAAAACTGTTAAACAGTTATGTATGCAAAGCTGTCATTTTTCTATTGTATAGTCAATAAAACAGCTGATTCAACCAAATATTATTGACTATAAATAAATATAAGCCTTTGAATGCTTTAAATGCTTGTGAAATAAATCCGCCATGTGCGCTTTTTTGGTAGATACTGAAGGTAGCTCTCTACAGAAATATAATGTAGCACTACAAAGATCCAAGGCCATGACTTTAATACTGAAGATCAAAAGTCAAATTTCTATTGTTTCATCATGTACAGAGCTGACCTTTTAAAAGTTATCAACCATGGATAAATGATTAGACTTCTCTTGCTTGCAAATTTCTAGTTATACACAGTTACCAGAAATACGGGTGGGTTTTTTTTTTTTCTGTTTGTTGCAGTGGATTTAAAGCAAGACTGTAAGAACATATCTAAAAACACAGTTAACAAGGTATATGAGTAATGACAGTTACTGAGAACTGTAACAAACAATGAAGGGTTCTCACCTGCATTAACATTAAAAAGCAAAAGGACAAACAGGATAATAATGAACAGTTTTTACAGTCCCAGGGAACAGTGGAACTTCATAAATAATCTGCACTGCTGCTATGTTCATAATAATCCAAAAAAAAGGATAGTTTGAAAAGTGACAAAGAATGCTGATTATATAATGTTGAGGTAGGAGTAAGGCTGAATGTGAAGAATAAAAAAGAATTATCCTGGACATTGTGACACTCTGTACCTGGACTGTCATTTCAATACATATGGAAATCGGCAAATATATAGTGGGGAAAAAAATAACCCAAAGCTTTATTTATATAGAGAATGAATCATGGATCTAAAATGACCAGTTCTGCTCAGAAATAAAACCTTGGAGATACAGTAGGTAATTCCCTGAAAACACTGGCTTGATGAGCTGCTGGGATCAGAAAATCAAATTGAATGCTTCTCTAGGATTTGTTAAAACCAAAACAGAATAAGAGCACATGAAACCTTGGAAGGCCTCCCTCTAAACTGTCTATCTGCATTACCTGTGAAATTCTAGTCATTCATCTCAAACCCAATATAGCAACCTTGAAAACATTCAAATAAAGACAACCATATGGATAAAGGATGAGTAAACTTTGTGAAAGAACAGATTAAAGCTAAAAGATTGCTCTGAAAAAGAGGTCACAGAACAGAAGGTGAACAGAAATTTACATTATCATAGGCAAAAAGGAATAGATTGTTCCTCTTCTCTTCCAAAACAAAAGCTTAAGAGTCATAAAATGAAAAAAAGATAACAGCAGGTTCACAAAATAGGAAGTTAATTTCTGGAATTCCTTGATCAAAAATTCTATGTACAACAGATACTTTTAAACACTGAACCTGACTGAAAAAGAACACAGAAGAAAAGTACTTCCAAGGATATTATAAACTACCTCCATGGCTATTAAAGACATTTATCTCAAAATATTTCAGAAATTAAAATTATCAGAGGCTGAGGAAATAGCATTATATGATCATCCCAGTTTGTTCTCCTCTCAAGACATTTTTCCTGTTGTCTAACATGGGAATGAAAAAAGCTGAGTGTCTATCTTTGGTCTGACCTACTATGGTTTAACTGTTTTTCTCAGAACCCTAAATCTATATCATAAAGTGAACACCTTAAAGACAGCAATGCTTCAAAGAGCTACCTGATTTGAGTTCCAGAAATAATGTCACACCATAAAATTTCTCCAATTTGCAAAATAATTTCAAGCGGATTAATGGTTTGCAACAGGACACTATGAAAATTGTACTGAAAATGTATATATGTAGGTAAATATACAGATATACATTCATAACAAAATTATATATTTAATCAGAAATATTTATTAGAAAAGCAAGATTTTATCTCTTTTATTTAGATATGCTGCTGTTTGGATACCAAAGGCAAGCCAAAGACAGACTCTTTCAAAAATTTTAATATTCTGTTGAAAAGGGAGGCTCGATATGTATATATTTCTTGCTACTGTGCTGAAGTACATCAAGATGTACAACATCTCACAGTTTAGGCAGGAATAATCTCAGTATAGTAATGATGCAGAATATATAAAAAGAGAAGCATGTTTAAAGGAATTTGAGTGGTTTAATTATCATGAGATCCTTTCATAAAATAAAGCTGCTTCATGACTAAATAGGCAGGTATTTCAGATTAAAATATATTTCAATATTTTTAATTGAAAATATTCAATTATCAATGGAATAGATTTACAGAAAGGAATCATATTATGTGGAGAAAAAAGAGATGATGATTAACAGCCTTAAAAAGGAATTACTAAAATCCAGAGTTTCTGTCATTTTGAAAAAACACAGGCATGAGAGTAACCTGCAGTAGATACAGCAACGTGTTTACATTTGAAAATACTTCACACTGATTTTTGTTTTCATGAAAACCTACAAGAAATAAAGATAATAAAGATTAAGGAAGTGAAATTAAATTAAAGAAAACTAAAAGTAACAATTCCCACAATGCATCATCAATGTCTTATTTGCATCAGTTATACTTTCCAAGGGGAAAATATTTCAGTTAAGGCTCACATGAACTAAAATACAGCAGACATAGCAAAAACATCATCAACCAATGAAATCCTGAATTTCCCATTTTTAATGCATTATTAACAGTTGCAATCTCACAGATGACCACGCGGGACCATTTTATGTCAAAAGTTGAGGCTGATAATATACAAACATAATAATCTCAGCAGTCAATTCGTTCCCTATAACAAATTACTAAAGGTGAACTTGGTAAAAGTTATGAAGACATTTAAGTAGGCAATATATTAACAAAACACGGAGAAGTAGTTCATCATCCTGAATAGGTAAAAGCTCTGTGAAATGCTATACAACAGCTACATCTGTGTTACTAAGTTAATGTGTTCCAAAGTTTACAATAATGAATAACAATCTCCTTTATAAAAAAAAAGCAAAAATTAAAAAAACAAGAGAAATAAATTTATTCATGAAAATTTTATACAGTGATTTAAATCACTGACCACGTAACTCAGTGGTTTCATCAAAATATTTTGCTGTTTTTCCTAAGGTAGTGAATGTGGAAACACTTTTGGGAAAATGAACCAGCACCTTCCCAAGGAGGATTCATCATAGATTTGAGGAATTTTATTAACTGGCACAGAGAATTCCATACTTTGAAAATAAGGGCAAGTTTTTGAGGAGACTAAGGAGAAGGATTTTGTGCATAGTACAGTACATCCAGCATGGGAAAGAGTCTGTAGCCTGAAAATATTTATCAGGAGACACCATAGCTCATTGTTTAGAAAGGTTAGCTAGTCAATACCGACTTTTAACTACCAAACTACCTAGCTGTCATTCATAAATATAAGTTTACCTTAAACTGTAAAAAACAGTTTCTCGTCATGTTCCCTTAAAATACACGTTGTTAAAAACTGTTAAACAGTTATGTATGCAAAGCTGTCATTTTTCTTTTGAAAAATGACACTTAGAAAATTGGACCTTAAAAATGGAGATACAGCCATGCAAAGATCTAAGTGAGCATAGATATAACATAGAATAGCACTTCCAAAGGATGAAAGGTTTGTGAAGACTTACATGACTTGCAAACTTTCTGCTGTTAAATTATTCCACATGATCTCATTAGCTTGGAGGTTTTCATTTTCTTCTAGTAAAGATGTATCAAACTCTATTTCTTGTTCAACAACTTCTGATGACCTAATTTAGCAAATAATTGTTATAATTTCAAAATCAACATGTATCTTTGGGTAGATCATAGAGCAAATCATTAGGTTTTGAAGTATTTCATTAACTATAGTTAAAATTATAGACGAAATATAATGATAGATAGAAACTGGATACATATTCTTTTTCCTGTAAAGAAAACATAATTCTAAAGGCTCATGAGACAATAAAACACACTACAGTTCTTTGAATCAAGTTCACAGCACAATCAAGGTTCTCAAAGACTACCAATGTGAATGGGTGACTCTTACTTGTTTCCATCATAAACCTGCACATGACAACCACCAATTCACATATAACAACCACAAAAAAATAATACAAGAAGTCTTAGAGCTATTTCTTCATACACTAAAACAGAGTAATAGTTCAACAAATGGGAAATACACTTTTTAAGTAAGAACTTTCTTGCATTATCTGCATGTTCTGAAGTCTCAACCTGCAATAGCTGCAGAGTACAAAGGTACCTAGAGATCACTTTCAACTAGAACAAGTTTAGCCCAGAATGCAAATGCATCCAAATAAACAGTAAATTGTCTCACGTTGAGTCTAGACTATAATGTGTAGTCTGCTGTCAGTACCAAAGTTATGGCTTTTCTCATGTAACTGGAAATCTGTTTTTCTAGAGCCAGCCAAACAGACTGTTCAGCCAGTCTTCTGTATGTGCAAAGTAAAACACTTTTGCAATTAGGATGAAGTTTTAAAAGTAACAAGGTAAAATGAACCAAACAGAAACAAATTCCTCTGAACATTTAAGCAGTTGCAGGGTTTTCTCAAGAAGAAACAATGAGATGAAAATGCTTACCTGTGAGTATCTATGAAGTCATTATACTCAGAGTTAGGGTCTATCTGTTCCACCGAGGTCTGGATCTCTTTATGGACATTCACAATCTCTTCTGTTACAAGACTGGTGATCTCGCTATATTCATCCAATATCCCTTTTCTAGAGAGGAAAAAAAAGTCTAGTGTATAACATGGCACTGAAGGCATAGATGGCATTGAAGATGCTTCAAATTTTCAAATTGTTGTTTCTACAAAGTCTTGTTCCAACTGGCTAAAAAGGGAAAAATACGACAATATATTATTCAAAGAAACAATGCATCACCTGAGGACTTTCCTCTACAGGCTTAGGCTGGCTAGAGACTCTTAAGACCATGTTCCTTCTGTTGATTTCAGTGCACCAACATACAGCATAGCTAAACTAAAAACTGGAGAGATTACAAGGAAAGGGAATGTATACAGTTCAGTGATGACACTCCTTCACAAAGGACATGTGACGCTTGTTATAACCTACACAGAATGTGAGAAACAACCGCTCACATTAAAATTTCAAATGTTTTTTAAACCTCAACAGACACAGCAAAGGACTGAATCAGGAAAAAGGCCAGCGCTGTGAGCGTGGCCAACCACCAGAGACACATCCACAAAATGGCTCCAGCTTTTATACCCCTGGGAGGGGGGAAATCGCATCAGCCAACCCTGGCACCTCCCAAAGTCTGTCAGTCAACTCTTCTTTGCTGTTTGTTGGTGGAGAATACTTTCCTACAACCCGATCAGAGGTCAGGGGTTGTCACACACCCCCATAGTAACAAGCTTTTCCCATTCCCATCTGCCCATGCAAGGGGCACAGGGACACGACCTCCCCTCCACATGCCCCCAGCAACCCTGACAACCAAGGCTGTCCAGTGCCAACCATACAGACAGGAAAAGGGACTATGGGGAGAAGACAGGGTATCCCAACAAACTATAACAACATAACCATACATCAACAGTACTTCTCTTAACATACACACAACATTCATCCCTTAACTATGAGAGCCAGTCATTGTATTACCCATTTGTAACATTGAAGATTTTCATATTTCATGACAAAATATAATCTGGCATAAGGGATAATGATTTACAGAAATGCACACATTTCCTTTCAACACTGATTTTCCGTCTTTCTAATGTTTTTTATATATATTGTCATTCAAACAAAAATAGGCATAAATCACAAGTAAGCATATATTTAAAAGAGGAGAGAAAATTAACCAAGAACTTGCTGTGATCAAGTACAAGACACTCAAGCTTGTCTTTACCTGCTTCCAAGAGTGGGAAAAACCAAATGAGAAGTGAATGGCAGAGGAAGAGGTGTGACACTACTCTTAATAGCATCTGGTAACACATACTCGGAAAACCCTTCTATTCTCCTTAACTTTTTAGTTTTCCTTCCTTAACTTTTAATTTCCTTCCTAACCTTCATTATTATTTCCTATTTCATTTTTATCTCTGATAAATTTTCTAGTTTTCCAGGATCTGAAGCATGGTGGTCACTCAAAAAACACTAATGGATTTTGGCTAGCCAAATATGCAGAGGAAAAAGTGTAAATGCATTTTTCCTGGATAAGATCTCAAGTTTTGTTTGCTCTGTAAAAAACAATGGTATGATAGGATTTTTTTCAGTGCACTTGTACTGAGCAGAAAACAGAGAAGTGAAGGCATTAAATCTTGTCTTTTCTGAGAATATCATGTGTGAAAAAGTTCCAGAAAATACTTAATGGAGTGTGATGAAAAGATACCTAAACATCAACTACAGCAATGCCATATCTAAGAGAAAAAGAATATATCAATTACAATGACAAAAAAGAGGAAAAAAATAGTAGCAATATTAATCTATACTTTTTTAGGTTTAAAAAACTAATTCACCTGCAAAATTAGGATAATTGAGGAAGTTTAGCTTCACAGAGGTTCTCACACTAAGCTCTGCATTTGAAATCAGCATCTCTATATGTGCACCAAAGGTATTATAATAGAATAATTTTCCAATACATTCAGAACTCACAAAAATGTCTATGTAGTGACAAAAGAATTTTTTACAGGTTTTTACTCCAGGAAGAGCAAAGGTAAGTTTCAATAAGATCTTGTTCTATCATATATTTCCTCAGTTAATTATTATATCTCGTGATTCTAAAAAAAATCACCTGAATTAGAGCACACACATTTAACTGTAGCCTTTTGGTGTAATCTTGCACGCAAAATTAAAAGGACTGTACAGGGAGTACTACAAAGATTTATTTCAATACCAGCACCTGAACCAAAAAAATTACTCTATAGGGAAGCTAATGATGCCTGCACCATATAAAGTGTGGAATCCTCAACTGTCCCTCACTTCCTGCGTACTGCAGTCAAGACAAATTGTGACTTCAGAATAGGCAAGAATATAAATTAAATAAGAGTGTTTCACATCTGAATTAAGAACACTTACAAAAAAAGGTAACCACCCTTTGGTGCTTCAAAATTAGAAAGGAGGGATGAAAGTCCTCAATATCTGTTTTCAGATATCATCACTTTGCACATACTCTGTAATGATGTAAGAATGGTCTTTTAGGAAAGAGGTCATAGTATTTTTAAGGGGAGACTCCTTACAGTGAAATCAAGTTTACATAATCCTGTTAATCCTCCCACCCATACCATTAACTGTGCATCAGACTGTGGCTCTTCTACAATCACTTTCAAGACAGTTGGGCAGTTTAAACCACATTTGTTGCTGGTGGAATTTCATAATAATGACTACCAGAGAGGCAACAAACTTGGTATAGTCTATTAGCAGAAGGAAAAATCATGAGGTCAAATATAAACACTGCAGTCAATCTGTAAGAATTTTTAAGAAGATGGTGTCTTGTTGCTTAAGTAAGCACTCACAAATACCGTCTGCATCATTTGGATAGACTTTTTTCAACTGTTATCCCCTGATATACAAGTAATTAATCACAGCTTCTTATTTCCAACTGTTCTTATAAATTAATTAGAATACTACACATAAAAATTTACAAGTTAGAAATATTTAAGAACACATCTTACAGGGCTTTAATCATTTCTTCTTGCATCTTCTGTAGTGAATCAAGTAAGAGGGGAAGTGTAGTATCGTAATACTGGTGCTGATGTAATTGTGCTCCTTTCAGTGCCAACACATACTGGTTATGCAACATATGAAGTTTCATAGTGGCTTTTTCACACCGATCTTTGGCTTTCTCTGTCTCCTTTCCTGCAAGAAAACAAAACAAAAATGCACATGGTGATTTAAAAAGTATACAGGCCTACAGATGACACACCTGGTAAATTTATGTCAGGTTTGCCCCTTTTTCTACAGTAATTTTTAATGTACTTCTCTGAAGAAGGAAAAATACAACCACTTCCAATTAATTAGTTAATTATTAATTGACATGATCAAATGTAATTATTAATTAATAAATTGACATTATCAAATGTCTAGGTTTTCTAATTAATAAACTTTGTAAGAAAAAGGTTATCTTTCAGCAGAAACGTAAGAATTCTTTATCTAAAAGTATATAAAAACTACAAGTATAAAAATAATACAACTACCAACAAGAAAGATATCTCAGATGCATTACTATCTCAAAGCTTTTTTTTTTTATTTGCAAAATTTTATTTTTAGAAGAGAGATGTCTTCCTACACTAGATTCACTATAAATATATTACATTTTTGTATTCAAGCATTTCTATTGCTACCTATATTCCTAACAAACTAATGATGCAGTCAGTCTACATATAAGCAGCTGTATATAACCCTCACACTGTTACTCCTGCTCAAAACGGGCAGCTTGTCTCCTACACCTCAGCATTTCCCTATCACACTGATATCCTGATCAGGATTGGCTCTACAGCCTCAGCCTTGCACCACTGAGACCAGAAGTCCTCAAGTTCAAGCTGACAGGACCAGCTGAGGGTTGAACTGCAGAGCAACAAGGTACTTCATGAGCACACCTATCCCATTCTTTGCCACAGTGACTGCACAGCTATGTGGGGTATGCTATCAACACTTTTCCCAGCACAAATCCAAAATGCAGCCCCACAACAGCTACTGTGAAGAAAATCAACTCTAATTCAGCTATAACCAGAACAGACACACAAGCTTTTAATGAATCCTTGCTGTCTTCTTTATATTTACCAAGTATCTCATTACTTTTTCAGCAAATAAGATAATTTTAAATTAATCTCATATCTGCAAATATCAAGTGCATAGTCATAAGTATATGCACAGATAAACACATGCTACCTAAAGTAATCTCATTCACACCACTCCATTTCTTATAAACATAAAATAAATTATCTAAGTAAAAACACGTCTACTACCCATCACAAAGTAGTTGAGAAAAAGGAAAATGTAAGCATTCATAGCTAAGTGGCAAAACAGCTGCTTGAAAGCAAACCTTGAAGATCTGTGTCATATAAGGAATACACACGGGACTGTGAACTCAAATAAATCAAAACAGAGCAACATTAAAGGCACACTAAAAAAAACTTGAGGGAAAACCAGTAACAAATCCTCTTTCATATACATTGGCGTCAGCAACCTTGTCAGAAAAAGTAAACAACAGTCACCATATAAAAGGATCTGGTACAAGAAAAGATTTTTTTTTCCTTCAGACCTTCAGATATTTCCAGGATGAAATATTACTTTGTGAAAGAGTCAATGAATCTCTTTTTTCTAAGCTGTCAGAAAAACGGTTGTTGAGACTAAATGAAATGAGAACAAATTATGAGGACTGGATGGTGCTTAGCTTTGAAACTTTAAAGGTACTTGAGATAGTTTTAGCTAAAATATTATGATTAGTTTATACAGGAGGAAGTAGGCACTCAGTGGAGAGTCCCAGGAATACCAGCTGGACTCTTAATTGTCTGATGAGGTGACGAAGACGATGATGATGAAGATGCTGTCTGAAAGTAGCAAACGGGGAAACCAAATGTGAAGAACTGGAAAAAAAACTGTCACAGTTTGACACTGGCCAAATCCAAGCACCCAGAAAAGCTGCTCGCCCACTGTCTCCTGCCACAGCTGGGAATAGAGAAAAAAATTTAATGAAGGGCTTGTGAGTTCAGATAAGGACAGGAAGAAAACACTCCAAGGGCAAAACAGGCTCAACTTAAAGGTACAAGGTAAGTTTATTACTAACAAAATCAGGGCAGGATAATGAGAAGTCAAATAAACCATTAAAAACACCTTTTTCTCTCCAACCCCTACCTCCTTCCCACCAACAGCACAGGGAGACCGGGCATGGGAATTTTGGTCAGTTCATCACTGAGATTATCTTCCACTGCTTTGGGAGAGGAATCCTTCCCCTGTGACTCTGTGGGGTCGCTCCCATGGGAGACAGCTCTCCATTAACGTCTCCAGTGTGGGTCCACTCTCACCAGGAGCAGCCAAACCCCACCTGCTGCAGCATGAACTGCCCTCACGGGCAGACAGCCCTCCCAAAACTGCTGTGGCACGGGTCTCTCTCTTTCCACGGGTGCAGCCCTCCAAGGACAGGCTGCTCCAGCCCAGGAGCAAGGGCCCTCTCTCCGCTGGGTCTCCCAGTGGATCACAGCCTCCTCCAGGCATCCCCCCGCTCCAGCACGGGCACTCCCCATGGGCTGCGGGAGCATCTCTGCATTCCCCGTGCCCCCATGGGCTGCAGGGGCACAGCTGCTTCAGCATGGGCTCAGCACAGCCTGCAGAGGAATCTGGGCTCTGTGCCTGGACCACTTCCTCCCTCTCCTTCTCCACTCACCTGGGTGTCTCCATGCTGTTTTCCCTCTTCCTTTTCTCTGAGTAGAAAAAACTGTGCTCCCTTTGTTTTGATTTTCCTCTTAAATATGTAATCACAGAGGCATTACCAAGTTCTTTCACTGTCCCAGCTTTACCCAGCAGCGTTTCCATCTTCAGAGCCTTCAGGGATTGGCACTGCTGGACATGGTGGAAGCTTCTGGCAGCTTCTCACAGAAGCCACCTCTGTGACCCCCATCACTGCCAAAAACCAGACCATGCAAAACCAACACAGAAACCTTAAGAGGTACTAATTAAAACAACAGTAAATTACAGAGTGAATATTTAGAGAGGTGCACGTGGGTAAAGAACTATTCTGGTTTAGTAATCCAAATGCACATAGAAATGAGATCTTGGGGTCAGTACAGCAAGATTGATGGAAATATAAACTCAGTGTTCAGTAGCTGCTGAACAGAATGTTATTTAGCAAAGGAATAGACTGGGTTGTTATGCTACTGAACTGATTAAATTCACTTAAAAGTATGAAATTTGTTGACCTCAAGCAGGATATATTTGACATACAAAAGGTTTAGAAAAGAGCAATGCCATCAGATGGGTCGGAAACAAGACAATTACAGAAAGAATTGCTACAGTGAAGGGTCCTGAAGCACTAAGAGTCTGAGGAGGAACATGTAAGAAGAGACACAGGAAACAGACCTGCACAACCTCTTTCAATGTAAAAGCCATACATTATATGGCATTATATGGAAAGAGTAAAAACACAGATCTTCTTCAACAACAAAAAAAACTTACATGGTTTAACAGTGAAGGAACAAGTGTATGCAAAAAATTTAAAAAAAAGAAAAAAAGAAAAACAATCCTGAAGAGCTACTAAGAACTAGGACAGCACTTCTGACTCAGGAACTCCCTAGGTAATAAATTACCATTAATCCAATCTACGTTTCTATTACTTTATACTTTCCTATGGCTCTCCAGAAACTTGCTACTTTGCACCACTGTCAGCTACATTTCAAACACAGATTAATAAAAATTAAAAGGATATTATGTCTTTTATTTAATTGAAAACAATCCAATTGCTGACCTGATTTTGTACATGGAAGGTACAGATTTCTTACACTACAATTTATCCGAGTTACTCTGTACAACAAGGACAAAGCACATCTCTAGAGCCATCATCAGAGAAGAATTTTTCAAGTAGGTATGAATTAAACAATCCACTTTAAAAATTAAAATCCAAAGTAGAACTGCTTTGTAGAGATAACATTCACAAGTCTATCTTAAACTTTAGCCAGACATAGCAGATTTTGTCTTTGGCAAACCATCTAAACTCATGTTTCATGAGGAGACCAATTTTTTTTATATCCCGCCCAAAAAAACTCACACTATTTATTTCTAAATTAAATGCAGCCCATTTATAAAGGAAAAAATAATCCAACACATCAGAATAATATCCCAGAAATTAAACACCCCCAAATATGCATGTCTGACACCAGCACAAAAACATAACAGGATGGTGTAAAATCCTATTTTCACATCTGCCTTTGGAACTAAATTTCTCCCGTATATACATTATTCCTGACCTGAAAACTTCAACTGACTTCAGAGTATTATACAAAAGTATCATACAGACTTTTTTCTAAATACAGTAGGCTACAGAGTCAATCTGGTCATCTTCAGGTTAAAACATAAACACCGTAAGGTCTTTCTGGAGAAGGAAAGGTATGTGGAACATGGGGAAATACTGGAAGGTGACTGAAGAGAATTTGGAAGGAAGGGAAGAGGTCATGTACAGTTACAGGATGAAGACTAGATGAAAAAGGAGAGGACAAAGCTGTTGGAAGCTGGTCCATAGTGGCACCGTTCAGGGAAGCCAGAAGAGTAAGGCAAGGTGGTAGCACAGGCAAAAATGCTGCATTATTTCTTGGGTTATTCTGTGTTTGGCTATTCCTACTCAAGCATGTCCTAGATCAAATAATCTAAAATTATCTCCATATGTTGTAGTTTAAGACCTACAAGTTGTCTGTGCATGTGTTTAAAATACATTCCTTATCAGTTTTCAGCTTATGAAATATTAGCACATCTAAATCATACCATGTACCATCAGTATGGGCTTGTGACCTGTGAACTGCAACAAACCACCTTCAACAGCAAAACTAAATTGAAAATTTACACTAAAATTATCAAATTCACATAAGTCACAATTTAATAATACTGTATCTCTTTCAGAAACCTCATTACCATGTAAAGTATCTGATTTTCCCATCCGTTTTAAGGACTAAATACAGTTGCTACACATTACTCCTCAGCAGAACACCTCAACTAATTGTGACATAAATCAAATTATCATATTCACTCAACTTTAAAATAGAGTCTTGGATCTATATTTAATTCAGGGAACACAGTTACAGTATTATTTTCATATTGTAATTTGTTTTTTAAAGTAGCAAAATGCAGTGAAGCAGCATACACAGTTGTTC